TGTCGGAAGAACACCAACGCGTAAGAAGAGAGTTGCCCTCCGGACATTTCATAGAAATTTCGTGTAGCTTACTCCGTTCTGTCAAGAGTACCGAATGGGTTACTTTGATGGTACCATTCTGCGTCACGTCATGGCTGACAATCCGAAATATATTAAGGATGAAAACTGCACTGTTGTTTTTGTTACTTGCCAGCTGTTGCCGAATTTTCTGGAAAATGCCTTTTGTCTGGGAAAATGAGCAACAAGCAGCTTTTGATGAACTGCGGCAGCACCTGCAATCAGCACCCGTACTCACTCATTTCGACGATCATGCTGACATGAAGCTGCATACTGATGCTAGTACCATTGGTCTCAGTGCAGTGCTATTTCAGCGTTAAGATGACATTCCGAGGCGAATTATTTCACTGTGGAGAAAGAGTGCCTCGCTGTCGTGTGGACAATCCCCAAGTTTCGCCCGTACCTTTATGGTCGTCGCTTCAAGATAGTGACAGACCACCACGCCCTCTGTTGGTTGGCAAGCCTGCGTGACCCTTCAGAACGACTATATAGTACGGTGGAGCTTGCGGCTGCAGGAATCTGACGTCGCCATCGTTCATATGTCCGACCATAAGCATGAAAACGCTGACACACTGTCACGCGCAACCCTTTATCTCGTCAATCAGGAAGCAGAGGATGATGAAGGTTTTCTGGGCACCATCAGCTGATGAGACTTGAGCAGACGGCAGCGAGATGACGAAGAGATTCATCCAATAATAAATCATTTAGAGGGCAAGGACGCAATCATACCACGTTATCTATCCCTCTCTTTGACGTCTTTGTGCCTGCGATACAGTGTGCTGTACAAGAAGAACGCCCGTTCGAACGACCGTGCTTACCTCATGGTGATTCCTTGAGACATGCGAGACAACGTCCTCTTCGCTTGCCATGAGGAACCTACATCTGGTAACCTGGGCTACTCACGGACACGTCAGAGTGAACGAAAGGTACTATTGGCCCGGACTTTCGGCCAGCGTTAAACAGTATACGCCAAGGGCTGTCGGCAATGCCATCGCCCAAAGCAACCAGCTGTTGAGCCAGCTGGTTTTCTTCAACCCATTGTGAAGCACCTTGCACGCCGTTCGTCCAATTCGGCATGGACATTCTTTTGTCATTTCCCCTGTTTGCGGACAGCAACAAATGGGATATCGTCGCGACGACTGTTTGACACACTACGCTGAGACGCAGGCGTTCCCACGAGCGACGGCTTCTGAGGTAGCGCACTTTTTCATGCGCCACATTGTGTTGCGTAACCGTGCTCTTTCCGGTTTAATAACGGACAGAGGGAAAGCATTCACAACGCAGATTATGGACGAAGTTTTCAAACTTAAAAAAAACCAGACACTGAAAGACAACAGCGTACCAACCGCAAACCAACGGACTAACCGAGCGACTGAATAAGACGCTCACAGACATGATCGCAATGTACGCACATCGGTGTACCGCACGAAACATGGGACCGGATCTTGCGGTACGTGACCTTCGCGTATAATACCGCCATGCAAGAGACCACGCGATTCACGCCATTTCAACTTCTCTACCACCGCGAAGTGCCGACCGTATGCTGGACTCTATGCTACCGTGTCAAGACGATCACGAGTCGGCAGCTGGCACCGAAGAATTCGCAGAGCGCGTGAGCTCAACAGCTCACGCAACTGCACATCGGCCAGCAACAGCAGGCAGACACACGACGCTATAACACCCGCCACAGAGAAGTGTTTTACAACTGCGGAGACCAAGTATGGGTGTGGACACTCGTTCACCGCCGTGGCCTTAGTGAAAAGTTACTAAGCCGGTTCACGCCGCTTCAATGACGTGAACTATGAAGTGGTCCCAGACTCACCGCAGGCGTGGAGCAGGACACGATCGAGGCCTGACATTCTTCATGCTGCGCTAATGAAACCATTCATTACACGTTGTTTATAACTTTTTTTTACCATTCACCACTCTTTGTGCTTTTTATTCATTTTTGCGAACTTCCCTGTTCGTTCATTGTTTTTTCCTATTTTGTCACGCTCTTCAATATCCATACTTTACTTAAATTTTCTGTTTCCTTTTTGTTTCACGTGCCTATGTTGTAGCATCGGGGTGGTGCCATGTCTTTCTTTCTTCCTTTTGTTACTTTTCTTTTCAGAAGGGGCGATATTGCCTCCCACACGTAGTGGGTCGACGGCAAGAGCGACGCTCGCCCTGAAGGTAAAAGGAGATGTCGTGCTTCTTCTCTGCTCGAGAGCCAGCTGCGACGGACGCATTATTCAGAAGCTAGCTGCTCGGTGGCTTCATAAGCCCCGCAGTACTTCTGAAGCCTCGTAACAATATCGTGATAGTAATTACAAAAATACAAGAACAAAAACCCCCTTGTATGGTTTTACATCAAGTGACCCCCCCCCTCCCCTCTAAAATGAGTGGATGGATCCGGCCGTGCTGAAGACTTCATCAGAAGAGGTCGAGGACGACCAGACGCTTTACTGATTGCTCGAAAGCTCAGCAACGAGATGCAGTACCTTGAAACGCACAACTTCGTCCCCATTGAAAACAAGGTCCTGTGGTCGCAAGTCCAGCTATTATTTGTCAAGACACGTTAACCAAGCATCGAGGCATGTTAGAGAAGCGTTTATTCAGAACAGCGACAGGAGATCCAGTTTACCCAGAAACGAAAAAAAAAATTGTACGTAACGTTCAACAAAACATTCTCTCGTCTGCGCCATTGGAGCCACTTTTTAGTATGATAGGCCTGCTTGGATACAACAATATTTGCGACTTCACAGGACCGGCCAGGGTGTTCTGGTGGTTGTGAAGCTTGACGGCTGACCAACAGGTTGCCTTGGCAGCCGCATTTTCGATGGAGGCGAAAATGCTTGAGGCCCCCGCACTTAGATTAAAGTGCATGTTTAAGAACCCCAGGTGGTCTGAATTTCCGGAGTCCTCTCCACTACGCTTCTGGACATTAAATCCCTACGAGTACAATTCAGCAGTTTCACTCTATGCGTACTGCAAATAAAGAGTAGATGAGTGAGTGCTTTAATGATGGACTTCTCATATAATTTCATATTATTTTCAGATACTGTTGAAACGAAACAGTTATATATTTATTTCGGTGAGCTTGTAATTCGACTTGTTTCTAAGATGAATTCACTATTTCCGTTGACACCCTGTATTGTCATTGCTTACTGCAACCTTTATTCTTTTTTTCAATTTTTCTATTATATTTCAATATATCACTCGGTGTGGTGTTGTGCTTGACGTTATGCTGCAGCTTATACTCCTGACTTGTAGAATGGAGTCTTAAATTCGTGTCTTGTATTCGTGGCACACACCCACACTAGGATATTGGCCAAGAAGTAGGTAGTTTGAAAAAAGGTCCTAAATATGTCAATCATGTCTGTTAAGATGATCAAAGTAAAGAAAAAGCTTTAAAATAAAAACCAATATATAAAAAGTAAGCATAATAATTGAAGCAAATATTATGAACCGGCAAATAAAGCGCTTTGAAAAACAAGGAACTCAAGAGTAAAGATTAATTCTATAACCTGAATCTGTTCGAACCTTTAATTAACTCCTGCGGAGCTTCGACATCCTTCCCATCACTGCATTCAAAGGAAAAAAGTGCCAAAAGGAAGTACATTTAGTGCATTTAACTCTAATCTGAGGAGCCTGCAGACAACCCGAACTGTAATTTTGCGCAAAATCAAGTACCTTGAAAAAAATAAGTTGTTGCTTTGTTGTCAATTTCCCGTGTTCACATTGTACTATTCCATGTGCTGAAATGCTAATTTAGTCATCCTGGGTAGTACGAAAAATAATTCTCGCCTCCTATCACTCATATATCCAGCCCCTATAATGCAGTTAGGTGCCGGTAATATTTAAATAACGGGGCTTATTCAGCGCATCTACGTTTCCATTTAGGCACGTGGATCGCCATTTTTCGTTCTTTTTTCTTTAAAAAGCGCTCGAAAACGTGCATGTCCAGCTTTTCTTTCTTGTCTTCCCGCGAATCTTCGGAACCACTATACACGGGCCTTTTGCTTCCATCTAAATACGGACGCCGTAGCCAGGATTCGATCCCGCGACCTTCGGATTAGCAGGCAAGCACCATAACCAATAGACCAATCACCACAGCAGGTCAACATTTTGCCAAGCAACGATGCACCCAATACACATCTGCAAGTCAATACGCGTAACGATGCATTGACTAGCAGGGGAAGGGGGGCAAGGGGGTCTAATGTCCCAAAACTACCGTATGATTATGAGAGACACCGTAGGGGAGGGCTCCAGAAATTTTGACCATTTGAGGTTCCTTAACTTGCACCCAAGTTTGAGCACACGGGTCTACAACATTTTCACCTCCATCTAAAATGCAGCCGCCGCAGCCGGGATCGTGACGATGCAGCTGCACACATTATTGATGCGGTGGATGATGACGATAACGATAATGGCCATTTATGGGAGAGGGTGGGTGGGCATCTTCACACAACACACTGGTTACGATATACACGTACGTATTATGCCATCTGGTGGGATTGTATGCTTCTTCCGCGCAATATTAGACAAATTTAGTTGGGCGTCCCCAGCAGCTGCAAACGCAGCCCGCCAGCCATTTCCTATGATGTGCCGAGTCTACAAAGCTGTTGCGGACGCTCAACTAATCTGTTGATTAATAGCGGTTAGAGTGACGCCTCACGAGACACAGGCGCGCAGTTCTGAGCACTAGCATGGCCACATAACTGTCTCTTTTCTGACAAAAATATCCTATAGTGGGTTAGTACCACTGTACGAGAAGCGAGCAACTGCCACGCACCGCGCGACCACGGCCACTGGCTCGAGCGGGGATACGTGGCACATGCGTTTGGGAAAACGCGCAATCCTCCCGTCCACTCAACGAAAATCGTGCCTTCAAATCGTTCGCTGGGCGTTACAGCTCGCTGTTACTCCGTCGTCGCATACCCGCGAGAGCAGCCGGCATCATGTTCCACCTTTTGGGAAGCTTGAGCAAGCTCTTCAGGCTGCGCAAGGTGCACATCGACGGAAATGTGTTCCGGCTGCACACCGGAGCCACGGTGGCGCTTCTAATGTCCTTCAGCATCCTGCTCACCGCCAAAGAGTATGTAGGCACCCCGATCGATTGCCACTGCCCGACGCTGCCCAAGGGTGTCGTGGACTCCTTCTGCTGGGTTGAGTCCACCTTCAGCCTGCGCGAACTGTTCAATGCCTCGTATAACGGCACCATTGTGTACCCGGGTGTGGGCCATGGCCGAGGCGAGCGCAAGTACCACACCTACTACCAGTGGACCTGCTTCCTCATGTTCGCGCAGGCGCTGTGCTTCTACGCACCGAGCTGGCTCTGGAAGGTCTGGGAAGGCGGCAAGGTTCCCGCCATTGTGGCAGCACTCGACATTCGTTCCGCGGTGACGCAGGACAGGGCTGAGCTGAGATCGCAGATGGTCGACTTCCTGGTCGTCAACATGAATCGGAACCGCTGCTACTTGGTCAAGTACTTCCTCTGCGAGCTGCTCAGCCTCGTGAACGTCGTGGCCCAGACGTTTCTGACCGACTACGTGCTGGGTGGAGAATTCCTTACCTATGGCTGGGACCTGGTCCGCTGGCACCGCGGGGAAGGACGTGAGTTCGTGAGTCCCGCCGTCATTGCCTTCCCGCGGATTACCATGTGCACCTTTCTTAAGTACGGCCAGTCGGGTACGATTGAGAATCGAGAAGCCATCTGCGTTCTGCCGCTCAATATTGTCAACGAGAAGCTGTTTGCTTTCCTTTGGTTCTGGTACGGGTTGCTGCTGGGCACCGGCTCACTGACGGTGGTCTACCGCTTCCTGCTGCTTCTCAGCGCGCCCCTCCGACGCCGCCTGCTCGCCTGGCGATACCCGGACAGCAAATGCATCGCGGCCGTCGTCTCAGCACTTTCGGCTGGGGACGTCTTCTTCCTGAGTCTGGTTGGGCAGAACGTGGACTCTCTCATTTTCAGCCAGCTGATCGCGGAACTGTCACGTCGGCTGGTCAAGGCGGTGCCAGCCGCCGTGCCATCAGCTCCACCGGCAGTATAAGATTGGCCGTTTGCAAATTCAACGCGCCACCCTTTTCTGCAATTCTAAAGCGGCCTCCTTCGAGTGGGCACATTTACTTGCAAATATAGGGATGGCATTAAAAGGCACTTAGCTTGAAAAAAAAAAGACTCCCATTCGTTGTGTACGACAAAGAAATGTCACCATTACGACCACCATCTTCTCTTTGTAGTGGGGAATTCGCAAGGCAACGACCAGTGGGACCATCTCTGAGTGCGAAGCGCGAGCGTGTGCACGAGCTGTAGACACTGGCAATGCTCGAGCAATCCAGCGTTCTACAGCTCGTGCACACGCTCGCGCTTCGCACTCAGAGATGGTCCCACTAGTCAATTGCTTTGCTGAATTCCCTGCTACATATTGATAACTTAGTATGCTATTTTGCTTCAAACATAGGTCTCAGTTATTAGGGAACATAGCATATAAACCAGTTCACACTACACGCACGAACACGCAGATTCAGTAAATTTTTAATCATTGATCTCTCAACCACTCTAAACAATCAAACCATGAGACGATTCTATTGTGCATACGTCGGTTTGTCATGTTGTGCCAGAGACCATATCTGACCTTTGAGCTGCGCTTTAAGTTATCGCCATCTGTAGATGGGCGCAAAAACTCCCCGCGAGCAGCTTTTGGTGCTCCTTTGCTCACTTAGTATAAGTATTAGTCACCATTCGTCAACATTTTACAAAGCGGGCCAGCGTGTCGTCGATAACAAAAGCAGTACGAGCCTAATCAGCCTCATTTATTTAAACCTGTACGAATTCATACGGCACGAAAACAAGGCCGTTTTTTCATCATCGCCGAGCTGCCGGAGCACGCGAATGCCTTAGCGAAGTCCCGGACGTAAGCAAGAACTGCGTTCACGTCTTCCATGATAAGTCGGGGCTCCCGTTTCTCGCCAAAGAAACACGTGAAGAAAACGTAGCGGTCGTAAAAGAACTGCGCATGCGACAGGTTCCAGTCACTCCAGGAGAAGCGATGCTCGTGCCAACCTGCCTTGGAGACACCCATCGTCCGCAGTACCGACCTTCAAGGCCAGCAAAGGTACGATATCGAAAGGGCGTTGCCCAACGGTGGCCGACTCATCAGTGCCACTACTAACACTTGTATTACCGTTAGCGTCGGCCCCACTGTCGTCGTTGTGGAAAGAGGCGCATTCGTGAAGTTCCCTGAGTGCGTTCGAGCTTCCGCGGAGCGATTTCACCACGGCCGTCCCATAAAAGCTGCGCGAACGACATGCCCATCACGGGCATGTTGATGAGCGCCGCGCTGGTAGTGGGATTGTCAAAGTCCATGTAAGGGTAGAATACGGGTAGACGGAATAACGCGGAGATCAAACATTGTCGCAGGGGCGGTGCCGATATATTCTATGGGGCATTCCGAGTAGAGTCATCTCCTTGGTCAGCAAGAACTCGTGCTCCTAGGCCGGAGTAGTAGGAGAGTCCGAAATCTTCGGACGTCGGAAGTGGCGCGTTGGAAGCTCCGGGAATGATTACATCCCTCGGCGGTGGCACCATGGTCACGGCCGATAGTACGTTTACGGCTTGTGTTTTTTCGAGAGCACTCAGATTGCTCTCTAACACATCGGCGATGACGGCTTTGAGGACGAATTGGAAGGTCGCATTCACTAAAGTTGTTCTTTCGGGACTCGCAAATATTCGGGTGTAAGTCAGCTGCCACGTGTTAGGGAACTTTTCTAAGCTGTTGTGCAGACAGGCGGATGATACCGAGGAAGGCAGCAGTAACTCCCATCTGGTGTGAAATCCGGAGTAAGCGCAGGCTACGGTGTAAGCTAGCAGGTAGGCAAACACCACTGGTTCATTTATCTTCTCCAGAAGGATCTTGAAGATAGCAGCGACTTGGACGTGATCGCGAATGAGCAGTTCCACAACGTTGGCCACGTCAGACCAGCCGAAGCTTGTCAGGTCCTTGACCCATTGTTCACTTGTGTAGGATGGAATTAATTCCCCGATTCGCTCGATACGAAACGTCTCGAACGCCGATTTCCGAAGAGAATTCGCGGTAGGAGCTTGCTGTCCAACTCGGTGACGTCGGCACTTGAAACGTTAGTGTTGAACTTGGCGTTGAATCTGTCGATGACCGTGTCAAGTGCGACGCCGAACAGCTCCAGCTGACTCTTGTTTAGCCGTATGTCATACGGCATAAGTCGAAGGGACGGCCGATCTCCGCCAAGCAACTCAACGACGAGCAATGACGCCGTGTGAAATTTGAGGCTCACGTGGAGGAAGTAGTTCAGCACCTCTCCCGTCGTCATGACCGGCTTCAGTCCAGTGGTTTCCACGAGGCCCAAGGCAATCTCCACTACGAGGGACCACGGGTACTGCAGAGTCAGGAAGCAAGAATGGAACATCGAGCTCAAGAACTTCGCGTACTCGTCGTCATGCAGAGTCGTACCGAGGATGAAGTCTCGCTCGACGGCCTCGTGCACGTTGAACGGCCGGTCTACGTCAGTGCCCCCTTGAAAGCCCTTCGCGCACACGTAATTCGCGAAATTGGTGCAGGGCTGCGTGCTCTCGTCCACGTACTTTGCCAGGTGGCTGGCCTCTTCCGGGCAGCAAAACGGCGGCTGGTCCACCCTGCAGTTTTGTCGTATTATCATTCTCGCACTTAGATACATGGTCCAAAGCGCAATAACTGCTGGTCACCACGAAGCAAAGGACCAGCAGTGGTGACCGGGAGAGCACACTTGCACGTGACAGCATCGGGGAAACTTGGACGAGCTTCTTGGCAGGTTCGCCAGTGCCCGAGGGAGGTTTGTTGGGCGGCCCGGCGAATTTCGCTAGGTGGACAGAAAGCGGCAAGGGGTGGCCAGTCGAGGACGGCGAATGCGCTGCGGCTCGGGTGGTTGTGTGGTTCCTCCCTTCACTTCTCACTTCGGCAGGCGCGGAGTCGCGCCGTCGGCCCGAGCACCTGCCCACAGTCGTCTGGGTAGAGTCTTGAGCACTCCGAAAGCTTGCCGTGGTGGCGGACACGTACGCATCAGTTGTTGCGAGACTCGCAGCACCTGCCGTGACTCCGGCCCCAGAATAAACGCTGCTCCATTCCGTTCGGGCAGTTTCCTTCGAAGCGTCTCGTTCTGCTGGACTCATAGCGTGCCAAGGGAAAGCTCCTTCTTACTTGCATTTGCGCTGCTTGGCCGTTGGCGCTTACCCACTACCGCAAATTGGGCAAGAAGCCGGCTGTTTGCGAGAAGGGTGTGGTTCGGAATCCTGAAAAAGGGGAGAGAAAACGGGGTGTCAGGAAAAGAAGTTACAAGATTATTTTAGGCTGCTTCTATTCGTTGGACACGGAGTTTTGTCACTGGATTTCCCTCTAAGTTGTTAACAAGTTTGTTTTTCAGAGTCCTTGGTATTCTTCGCTTCTAATCATGTTACTTACATGTTTAACAGCAAACGATCTAATCTAATGGTACACGGCTGGCTTGTTGGGGATTCATAGAATCTAGAGGTAGAGCGCATCTAAGATGGCACAAAGCGAATGACACAAAACTCACATACACGGCGCTGTGCACACGTATGTGTGTTTATGTATGATTCGTGTTGTTTTGTCTTGGATGCGCTTTATCTTTGGAGGCTATTAATATGACGGCTGCTCGAGTGCATCTTGGATCGGCTCTTGATCACTCGTTCGAACGTTTTGTTGTCCTGTACCCCTCATTTGCAATCTAACTTTACTAATGCCGCTTGATTTCCTTTCCACTTTAGGGTTCTTAAAAAAATTAAGGCAGTATGCGCATCCCAAACATTGAGTTATCTTTAGCTTGGTTATTGTTTTTGGGACCTTAGTATGCGATGAGGGCGCAGCACCGGTAAGAAAAAGAGAAGTCACAGCTTTGACGCAGAAGGTGAAGCAATGAATGCGATAGAAACAAATTGGAATGTCGCGCGAAGACTGGCAAGCAGATCGAAACGTGCCCATTGTCCCGCACGCACAAACGACGCACGAAACGTACTCACATGTAACGATGAACGCGAATAAGTGCCTCAGTTGTTATTTCGCTGTGTTTGAACAGCGCGCCCTTTACGCAAATGCAGACTGTGCAGCGAGTGCAGTGACCTTTGTGTGATCGGTTACTGCAACAAAATCGTTCTGGTGAAAGCCCAAGGCGTATGATTTCCCCCACCGGAAGATATTAGTAAAGAGTATATGAAACAGACTAATGACGACAATAAGCAATGAGTGTGTATTTGTGAGATTAGCATGGTTGGCGTTTTGATTATATTATGTAGTTATATACCGTTCCATATATGTCCCTCTTGCAATTACCCGGTGGCGGAGTCCCTAGGGAGAGTAGTACTGTTTCAGACAGTTCAAGCCCATGTTTTCGGAAAGCTGCTGTTAAAAATTTCTGCATTAAATTTCGATGTCTGTGGCATTCTGTAAAAAAGTGCTCTATAGTATCTGTTAGCTTACAATAGTAACAATGGGGGGATGAAACAAAGATAGAGGTCCGTATAAATAAATGTTTACGATTGTAAACCTGCATTGCTATTTAGTATATGTCACTTTAACTTGTCTTGTTACACACCATGAGCGAAGTCTGTATTAACACAACAAAACAGCAGACACTTCAACGTCGTCTTCCAAAACCGTGGTTGCTGCCTGTGCTCGTCAATTCGTCGTCCTCTTGACATGCTGCCCGGCTTGTAGTCGTGACGATATCTTTAAACTTTTCACAAAATAAAATTAAAACACTGTCACCTTCCATTCGCCTCCTTCGCATAACATTAATTCCCAAGGTAAGTGAGATCTGCTTAATTTATTTTTTTAATATTATCCCTCCCATTTCCAGTACAACGCGAGTGACATCACTGACTGGCTGAGTCCTTCACTTTTAATGTTATACCGCTTTCTAAATAATGCAATGATTTCGATAGTGAAGGGTGCAGGTATACTAAAAAGGGCCAGTTAACATGCTCCAATTTTTTTACACCCACCAGACAAGCTTGCACATCTTT